GCACCTGGCGCACTCGGAACACGTGGCGCATCTGGCGCACCAGGCGTGCCTGGCACGCTCGGGCCCCAGGGGTGCCTGGCGCGCGTGGCGCCCCTGGCACGCGTGGCGCGTGGAGCCGAGGAGACTCCGAGAGGCAGTTAAACAAACTTTTGGCTCTTATGTTCACCGTCCTCTTCTTCTGCCTCATCCGCCTATTCCTCCTCCGCTCTCCTCCCTCCTCCCCCTCCCAGACCTCCTCCTCTTTCTCCTTTTCTTTCTCCTCCTTCTCGTCGTCCCCGTCCTCGCCCTACTCCATGTCATCATCGTCATTATCCTCCTCCTCCTCTTCTTCTTCCTCCTCCTCTTCTTCCAACGGCTACGGTTGCTCCTCCATCCTCCTCCTCTTGGGGTATCTGACGGCTTCCCCCGCCCACTGTTACTCTGCATGCTCCCCGTTTCCCTGATCACTTCAACTCCCCTGGGCATCGTTTCTGCATGGGTTTGTGGGGATACCTTTTGGTCAACGGCCTCGTGAAGGGGTCAACAAGCGTCCAAACTCTAGCCGGGCCACGACTAGGCAGCGGAGGAAAACGGAAAAACAAGACAGACGCAGCAAACGGCAGCTCAGAGAAGAGAACCGGTAGACCCATCCCCGGCGGCGTCCGAAAATCCCGGTGGCTACCAGCGAGCAGACGCAGCCAAAATGGCGCCGGCGCGACCAAAATCACATAGAGATCGATCACTCGGTGTGAGACAGTCAGACGGAAACGTCAGAGACGAACGAGACCGACAAGCACCCCCAGATGGCATCCGTGAAGTGGACGAACACAAATGCCGAAACATCGTGTCAGCGCAAGAAGAAAGAGGGGGCAACCTCGTCACAGATAGGACTGCAAATGGAAGTGACTCTTGTTTGTACAGCAGTGACACATGTCGAAAGCGGAGGCCTTGCAGGAGAAAGCAGCCGACGGGGGCACAGAGCCACACATGCCGAACCCGAAATCCTTGCACCGTAGAGGTCGGCAGCGACTTGTGGGGATACTTTTTTGGTACGCGGCTCGAAGGACAGATCCAGGGAACGGGATTCATGACTGGGGCACAGAGCGAGATAATTGGACGCAACGCACATAGGCCACTGAGTCGAGTGCACATGCCAGGGACAAAATGACCCTCACTGTGGGGGACCAGCGCAATCATCCCAGCGGATGGGGACGCAAGCACCACTTGTGGGGATTCGCGAAACGTCAATAATCCCACCAGCCCTTTGGGCGTGAGTGGTTTAGGGAGCTCTCTCTGTTCTCAACCCCCCTTCTTCCCCTTCGGGGAGGGGTTTACCCCTCCCCCTACCCCCTCCCCCTGGGCCTGGAGAGGGACCCCCGCGCGTCGCCAGGGGGGGCTTTTTGGGGACTCCTGGGAGGGCCAAAAAACGACGACCCTCACGAGGATTCTGGCCCCGACGGGGGGACGCAGTTTGGCCCCTTCTACTCTTCTTGGAAACCAGAATCATTGATTTTACTGCGGTTTTGGCCCCATTTTGGAGTCCTGAGGGGGCCGCGCTCATCTTCCTTCATAGCAAAATCATTGATGTTACTAAGGTTTGGGGCTCATTTTGTCCTTCTCAGGGGGCAGCGCTCCTTTGCGCTTCAGAGGAGGTCGCAAGAGGCCCCAAGATGGCCCCAAGAGGCCCCCAGGAGCCTCCCAAGAGGCCTCCAAGAGGCCCCCAAGAGGCCCCCAAGAGGCCCCAAGAGGCCTCCAAGAGGTCCCCAAGAGGCCCCCAAGAGGCCCCAAGAGGCCCCAAGAGGCCCCCAAGAGGCCCCCAAGAGGCCCCCAAGAGGCCCCCAAGAGGCCCCAAGAGGCTCCAAGAGGCCCCCAAGAGGCCCCACGAGGAGCCCGAACGACTCACACCAGGACGAGGGGCCCGAACGACTCACACCACGAAGAGCCCGAACGACTCACACCACAAGGAGGGGCCCGAACGACTCACACCAGGACGAGGCGCCCGAACGACCACACCACGAGGAGCCCGACACGGGCCCGAACGAGTCCACCAGGAGGAGGGGCCCGAACGACTCACACCAGGATGAGGGGCCCGAACAACTCACACCACGAGAAGCCCGAACGACTCACACCAGGACGAAGAGCCCGAACGACTCACACCACGAAGAGCCCGAACGACTCACACCAGGAAGAAGGGCCCGAACGACTCACACCAGGACGAGAAACCCCAAACGACTCAAATCACGAGGAGCGCTTTCTCTCCCTCCTCCTCCGCCTCGTCCTTCTCCCGCTCCCCCACCAAGGGGGATGTACAAGGAGGCGGGAGGAAGGAGGAACAGGGGAGATATGCGGGGCCAAGCGGACACACGCCTGAAAAATACGACTGTCGGCATGCTTCGCAAGAGTTTCTGCTGTGAGATGGGCTGGTGGGGATACGCGAAGCGTAAAGAATTGTTTTCTTTCCACATGGGCTCATCGGCTCGGTCTCGCCCAGAGCTTCAAACCAAATGTTTCACGCACGGTTGACAATTTCCAAGGCTAGGCTAGGCTGAACCGAACAAGTTGAGACACGATCAAAGCTACGTAAGATCACGCTTGGGCAAGGTAGGCTAAAAGGCCGTGCAATGCTCGGCCACAAGAAGCTGTCCACAAGAAACCCAACCCTGGAACCCCAAGACGTACATTGATTTCGGTGTGGGAACGTCACATGCTTCATAACAAAACCATCGAGACCCAAGAAACCCAGGGCACCCTGGAGGCAAGCAGTGTTTGTCCTGGCATGGGTTTCCACTGTATGCAAAGATCGGCCCAACTTCACTAGGGTAAACTCAGCATAGATCGGTCAGCATCAGCCGGCTGTGCCAGCATGTGCGATGGGGAGTCCTGGGATGGTCGTTCAGGGGTTGTCCTGGGAGACACGTTTCCGTTCAAAGCCCTTCCCCTTTTTCCTGCGGCCACCTGGGGCCTTCTGAGCTCGCCAGCCAGAGGTGAACCGACCAAGGTCGTTACGACCAATAAGGCGATCGTTCTGCCACCCAGGCCCGCTAGAGCCCTCTCGAGGCCAACCTCGGCACTCTTGGGAATCCCGCGGGCCGTTTTGGAGGTCGGGGGTCCATGAGGCCAAACTCGGCTGCTTCCCGTAGGCTCTGTTTCTGTTAAATGTTCTGTGGATTTTCGCTGCATCGGTCGCAAGCGCGTGCAAGACGCCCGCCCGTCCCCAAAGACCAGCTCAAGATGGCCCAAGAGGACACCAAAAGGAGCCCACGACGGCCGAGGAGGGGCCCACGCGCTACGCCACTGTCGTACGGCTAGGAGCCAACCCCTCCAACATGATCCGAAGACTTCCGGGAGGCCCACAGGATGCCCCAAGACGGCCTACAGCCACCCCAAGAACCCCCCCAAGATCTCCCAAACTGTTCCCAGGGCCTCTAGAACACGACCAAGGCGCGATGGCCTCGCATTGCAGCCGCCACCGCTCCCTGCCCCCGCCCCTCTTCCAGCTCTTGCGCCCAAGCTGTTCGCCGTTTAAGGTCGGCGAACCTGGCCGTAAGGTCTTTGCAGCCTTTGCAATATGCTAGACCACGCCTCCTCACCCTTCGCCGCCTCCAAATCTTTACAATGCCCCTATCTATGTGTCGCTACTGTTCCTTGTTCTTCCCTCCTCCTCCCTTCCCAATCCTCGATCCTGAGATGGGGTGATCGTCAAGAGCCATCATCCACCTCCCTCCTCCCTCCTCGACGGATAGGCAAGGGTGACAGCGGGGCACCGCGCTTGCATGCTCCTGCTCGTGATGACTACGGAGTCTACTGCCTTTCAGCTTCCGACGTGGGTCACAAAGCTCCCTTCAAAGCCAACCTACGACCGCCCAGGCCAGACTTCCAAGTCTCGCCCTACGTTGTCGCTGCTCGGCAGCGTGCTGCTCCCGCACGAAGGGGCAAAGGCCGAGGCTCTCATCAAGAAGCTCGAGGAAATGCCGGATGGAGGGGATCCAGGAGTTCGAACCAGTCCGACTGAGTTCCGGGATGAGTGAATGCAGATGGAGGGGACCTGGGTGAGTGTAGAGCAGATAGCGTGTGAGCAGTTGCACAGCATGGGTGCATATGCTCATTTTAATCGAGCCCTCAGGGGTAAGTAGTCTAGATGTTTAGGAGGCGGGAACAAGTCGCGGGGCTTAGAACAAATCCGTCGGCCTTTCCCCCGCGCTGGGGCCCAAGTATGGCCCTTTCAGCCGGCTATGTGGTTGCTGCTGCGTTCTGCCTCTCCCACTCGTTGTCTGTCCTCGTCGCCCTTGTCTTGTCCCCCCCCCTCCTGGCAGAATTGAGGGTTCCACGCTTGCAGTTTCGCATGTGGCAGCATGGCTGTCGCCACGGCGATATGTCGAATGATGGTATAACAACGATTTAACGGTCACAACCCGAGCTACGCGCATCAGACAACCCGCAGACGTTTTGGTGGGTGGGCTTGATTACTGTGCTGCGCTGCCTCCTCACTCCTCCATCCTCCTCCCTCCTCTCTCTCCCTCCCTCTTCCCCGTGGACACCGTTGGGCTTTCGCGCGGGCTTTTTCTTGAGCTCATGCCTCATCTTCTGCAATTTCGTCGCTCCTGCTCCTCCTCCCCCTTGATTCCCTTCAAATCCTGGTTCCCCTTCTCCTTCCCTCCTCTACCTGCTCCCTTCTCTCCTCCTCCTCCTTCTCGACCTGCACATCCTCCTTTTCCTCCCTCCACCCTCCTCCCTCCTCCTCCTCCTACTCCTCCTACTCCTCCTACTCCTCCTCCTCCTCCTCCTCTTCCTCCTTCTCCTCGTTCCTTCTCCTCCTTCTCCTCGTTCCTTCTCCTCGTTCCTTCTGAGGAGGACAGGGAGAAGGAGGAGGAGGAGGATAAGGAGGAGAATCTCCTCCTTATCCTCCTCCTCCTCCTTCTCCCTGTCCTCCTCCTCCTGCCTGTTCTCCTGTTGCACCCGCCCCCCCTCCTCTTGGGCCCCCGCCTGCATCTGGGCCTCAGACCGCCGGACCCTCTGCACCGCTACCGATTCGTGTAGTCAGCCCGCCTCGGGGTTGTCGTCGAGTCGGCCCTGAAGCTGCCGCCGCGTTCCCGGATTGGCGTCAAATCCTCGGACCCCCTCTGGTCGGGTACCGACCAAGCTTTCCAACTCCCATCTGCATCATCGCGGACGATTCGCCGCGAGCGAAAAATACGAGAAAACGGTCAGATGATATGCCAGGTGCGCCCTTGCGAGAGGTCATGCTGCACAGTGACGGGGCGCACCTGGAACCTGGAAGCGCGCAGCAGTGGGAACCGCACCATATGGTAATACATAGCCCGGGGACGTATCCAACCTTTTTAAGCACGTGGCGAGTATACATCGGATCGCTCACTACAAAAGCAATCATTGAATGATCCGCATGGCCCTTGAACGCTTCGCCAAAGAACGTCGGGCAAGAGACAGATGTTTCACATATGCGGCGTCACTCTTAACAGTCAGGTCGTTTGCAGAAGAGCGACCACGAGGGGGCGTGGAAACATGTGGCCGAGGGACGATTGGAGCCATAGTTCGTGGGAGTAGCAGCGCCTTGCGCTGTGTTCGCGTTGCAGGACAGCGCTCTGCAAGGGTGCCGAACAATCTGAAGACGCAAGGGTGCCCTTGGAAAAGGATATCCGTCCTTAGCCGTCCACGGGGCGACTAAAGCAGGACTGGGATCACACCTGCCTGTGCCTCATTCGGGGATGGACAGACCTCCCTTTAGTAAAACGTGGTTTAGTGAAAACGACCTGAGGCCCAAACCTGGCGGGCGCAAGCCTGGAAAATAACGGCCACGGCGCCCTCTCGAGAACCGAAAACGGACAATTCACTAATCGACGTGTCACTGTTGGGGGTTCTGTCCACCCCCGACTCATGTGTTCAGCCCTGTGCCTGACTGCCGCTGGGTTATATATCTGGCCGCCCATGCCTCATGGGACTGGTGGCGACGGTTTCACGGATCGCAGGCCCCCAGGGGGACCGCGAGGTGCAGTCGTCATGTGCGTCGGACGTCACTCCGCTGGCCCTCCGTGGAGCCAACGACAGTGGCGACGGTTTCGCAGATCGCAGCCCCACAGGGGACGGCGAGCTGTAGTTGTGATGTGCGTAAGAGGTGCCCCCGCTGGCCCTCCCAGAAGCTCATCGCACCCTCCCCAGGGGACGGCGAGGTCTCGTGGTGATCTGCGTAAGGCCTTACCCCGCTGGCCCTCCCAAAGCCCACGAAAATGGCGACAAGTTCGCAGATCGTCGCCAACCCGAGGGACGGCGAGGTCTCGTAGTGATCCATCCGCGTAAGACGTCATTCCGCTGACCCTCCCAGAAGCCGACAAAAATGACGATAGTTTCACAGATCGCAGCTACCCCCGGGGGACGACGAGGTCTCGTGGTGGTCCGCGTGAGACGTCACTCCGCTAGCCCTCCCAGAAGCCCACGAAGGTGGCGACAATTTCAAGATCGCAGCGCCCCCAGAAGACGGCGAGGTCTCGTGGTGATCCGCGTAAAGACGTCACTCCGCTGGCCCTCCCAAACCCCCACGACAATGGCGATAGTTTCGAAGATCGCAGCCTCCCAGGGGTCGGCGAGGTCTCGCGGTGATCCGCGTAAGACGTCACTCCGGTGGCCAATCCCAGAAGCCCACGAACGTGGCAGCAATTTCGCATACGACCCCCCCAGGGTGCGGCGAGGTCTCGTGGTGATCTGCGTAAGACGCACCTCCGCTGAGCCTCCCAGGAACCCACAATAGTGGCGACAATTTCGCAGATCGCAGCCCCCCAAAGGACGGCGAGGTCTCGTGGTGATCTGCGTAAGATTTACCTCCGGCCTCCCATAGGCCCACGAAAGTGGCGACAATTTCGCAGATCGCCCCCCCCCCCCCCCCCAGGGGACGGCGAGGTCTCGTGGTGATCTCCGTAAGACGTACCTCCGCTGGGCCTCCCAAGAGCCCACGCAACTGGCGACAGTGTCGCAGACCGCAGTCCCCCAAGGGATGGCGAGGTCTCGTGGTGATCCGCGTAGGACGTACCTACGCTGGGCCTCCCAAGAGCACACGACAGTGGCGACAGTTTCGCAAATCGCAGTCCCCCAGGGGACGGCGAGCTATAGTTGTGATGTGTGCAACACATGCCTCTGTTGGGCACCCCAAGAGCACACGAAAGTGACAACGGTTTCACAGATCGCAGCCCCCCCCCGCCCGGGGGACGGCGAGGTCTCGTGGTGGTCCGCGTGGGACGTCACTCTGCTGTGCCTTTTCAGGGGCCCGCGAAAGTGGCGACAGTTTATCAGATCGCGGCACCCCAGGGGACGGCGAGGTCTCAGTGGAATCCCCGTAGGACGTTACCCAGCTGGGCCTGTCAGGAGCCCACGAAACTGGCTACAGTCTAGCAAATCGCAGCCCCCCCCCCCCGGGACGACGAGGTCTCATTGCGACCCCCGTAGGACGTCACTCTGCTGGGCCTTCCAGGAGCCCACGAAAGTGGCGACAGTGTCGCAGATCGCAGCCCACCCAGGGGGAGGAGAAAGGAGGGAGGAAGGAAGAGGGGGGAGGAGTGAGTGATGGAGACCACGATGCTCTGTTCAAAACCAGCACCCAACCAAGGGAGGGTTGGGAAAAACATGCCCGACCAATCCCACCAACCCTCTGGGCGTAGGTGGGATAAGGCTTCTCCTCTTCCACCCCTCCCTCTTCCCTTTCGGGGAAAACTTAACACTTTTCCGTATTAATAAACACCCCCTCCCCCAAACGACTGGGGGCCAACCAGGGTCCATGACGGCCCCCCCCCACCATTCCTTGTAACAAACAATACAAAACACACTCTGCCTCCAAATTCGGGACATGCGCAGCCAACCCGATGCGGCCCCCCCCCCCGCCATCCCTGTCAAAAAAAACAATACACAATACACTTGGCGGCGGCGGCGGCGGCGGCGGCAAGGCGGCGGCGGTGGCGGTGGCGGTGGCGGCAGCGGCTGCGGTTTGACAGCGGGGGGCGGCGGCGGCGGCGGCAGCGGCGGCGACAGGCGGTGGCGGCGGCTGCGGCGGCGGCGGCGGCGGCGGAGGCGGCGGCGGTGGCGGCGGATTGGCCCCCAGTAGCTACATATCCAAAGACGACTGCTGAATATGCTGAAGTTCGGGCCAAACTCGGGTGTTACGTATGTGTTGGGGGGGGCGGGTGGGAGTGAGCGAGACGGCTTGCGGGCGGGGAGGGGGTAACTTGATCACTGTTCCCTATTTATAAACACCCCCTCCCCCAGGCGACTGGGGGCCAACCCGAATCCATGACGATACCCCCCACCATCTTTTGTAAAAAATACAAAACACACTCTGCCTCCAAATTCGGAACATGCGCAACCAACCCGGTGCGGCCCCCCCCCACCATCCCTGTCAACAAAAAATACAGAATACACTTGGCGGCGGCGGCAGCTGCGGCAGCGGTGGCGGCGGCTGCGGCGGCTGCGGCGGCGGCGGCTGCGGTGGCGGGGGCGGGGGCGGCGGCGGCGGCTGCGGCGGCGGCGGTGGCGGCGGTTTGGCAGCGGGGGCGGCGGCGGCGGCGGCGGCGGGCGGCGACAGGCGACAGGCGACAGGCGACAGGCGGCGGCGGGGCGGCGGCGGCAACGGTGGCGGCGCGGCGGCGGCGGCGGCGCGGCGGAGGCGGCGGCGGCGGCGGCAGATTGGCCCCCAGTAGCTGCCCATCCAAAGACGACTGCTGAATATGCTGAAGCTCGGGCCAGACTCGGGTGGTACGTATGTGTCGGGAGGGCGGGTGGGAGTGAGCGAGGCGGCTTGCGGGCGGGGAGGGGGTAACTCGATCACACTTCCTTATTATGAACACCCCCTCCCCCAGGCGACTGGGGGCAACCAGGGTCCATGCCGACACCCCCCCACCATCCCTTGTAAAAAACAATACAAAACACACTTGCCTCCAAATTCGGAACATGCGCAGCCAACCCGATGCGGCCCCCCCCACCATCCCTGTCAAAAACAATACAGGGTACACTTGGCGGCGGCGGCGCGGCGGCTGGCGGCGGTGGCGGCTGCGGCGGCGGGGCGGCTGCGGCGGCGGCGGCGGCGGCGGGGGCGGGGCGGGGGCGGGGGCGGCGGCGGCGGCGGCGGCGGCGGCGGCGGCGGCGGCGGCGGCGGCGGCGGCGGGCGGCGGCGGCGGCGGGCGGCGGGGGCGGGGGCGGCGGCGGCAGATTGGCCCCCAGTAGCTGCCCATCCAACGACGACTGCTGAATATGCTGGGGCTCGGGCCAGACTCGGGTGCTACGTATGCGTTGGGAGGGCGGGTGGGAGTGAGCGAGACGGCTTGCGGGCGGGGAGGGGGTAACTTGACCCATTCCCCCACCCCCTCCCCTGGACCTGGACGGGGCGTTCCGCGAGCGGTCGGAGCGTCCAAAACGGCCTCGGCGAGGAAGCCGCAATCATTTGTTTTACTTGGGTTTGGGCCCCCTCTTGTTTGGTCGATCTCCTCCGGGATGGCCCCAAGAGCGCTCCCAAGGCGCCCCAGGGTGCCCCGAGACGGCTCCAATAAGTGGCTAGGACGCCCTAAGAGCTCCCCAGGAGGCCCCTAGGACGCCCCCAAGACGCCCCCAAGAGACCCCCAAGAGGCCCCCCAGAGGCGCCCAAGACGCTCCAAGAGGCCTCGGCGAGAACGCCACAACCATTGATGTTTACTCAGGTTTGGGCTACGCGTTAGCTTCCTGGGGGGGGGGGGGGGGGGGGGCATTGCTCAAGGTGGCTCCAAGAGCGCCTGGGGGGGCCCGAGATGACCTCCAAGATGGCTGCTCAAGATTTCCCGAGATGATTCAAGGTGGCTCCCACGATGCCCCAAGAGGCCCCAAGACCGCTCCAAGAGGGCTCCAAGTCGCCAAAGAGCTCCCCCAGGAGGCCCCGAAGAGGCCAAAATCCTTCCAACATCTTGGGAACAACAGTGGTGTTGGCTGTCTCGCCTTGTCGCTTCCGATGGCCATCCGAGGCCTCAAGATGGCTCCAAGATGGCCCGAGAGGCCTCTAAGAGCGCTCCCAAGGCTCCCAGGAGCGCTACAAGAGGGCCCCAAAAGGCGCCCAGGAGGCCCGACGAGGCCCCAACAGGCGCCC